GCTGGACTTTGAGCAGATTGCTGCGGACATCCACTTCCGTCCCGAAATCGTGGAGCAGTGCGTCCACGAGACGCTCCTTTTCTTCTCTGGGGCTCTCCGAGACCGCAAGGAGGTGGAATTCACCTTCAGGAGCATTGGCATCCTGGCTGTGAGAAGAGGAGTGGTCAGCATGACCTTCTTTGATGACTGCCTGCTGGAGCTGGATGCCACCGGGAACATGCTGGCAGCTCTCCATGGGGTGAGCTAGTGGTTTCTGCGGGGTTCCTCCTCGTGACTCTGGGGCAGTGCTGTCAAGGTTCTCTCCAGCTGCTTTCTCTTGGCTGTGGTCTCCTGCCTCACCACTTGGCCTAGACACGCTCTCCATGGCCAAGAGTCGGTAGCCCCTCAGCCCCTTGAAGGGAGGGTCTACTGGCCCCAAGGGGGTGCGAGGCCTTCTGAGAGGCAGCCTTTGTGTCTGTGACCAGCAAGGAGTATTGCTGCCTTTGTGTGCAGCTGTGTCCTGAGCTGTCTCTGTCCCCTTGCAGGACTCCAACATGAGGAGGATTGTGGCCTTCCCAGGCAAACACCAGTTGGCTCGGCTCAGTCAAGCTGGGGTCGTCACGCTGCCAAGGTGAGCGGGATGGCTTCTGCTGCCCCAGGCTGGCGAAGGGAGCAGTTGTGCGGGCCCCGCTGTGTGGGCAACCTCTTGCCAAAGATGACAGCCAGCAGCCAGCAGCTTACTAGCCTCAGCCCCCAAGGGAGCAGGGAGCCCTTTTGCTCATGAGGCAGGTGCCTTCTGGTTTCTAGGCTTGCACTTGAGACCCCGAAGCAAGAATCGATCCTGGCCGTCTCGATGAAGCCCAGAAGAGAGTCGGCGCCATGGGGCGGTGGTGCCCGCAGAGGTAATGCCCCAGCTGAGTGCTGGCAGGGGGCTGTGGGGGCTCCTCTCTGGCCCCCAGGCTCCTGGTGACGCTGTTGGGTTCTCCTGCCCCCCACTTGCAGTAAGCGTGCTGGATCCGGTGTTCCTGGCGCAGCGCAGGGTTTCTCTGGCCAGGCAGCTGGCATGGGAAGACCTACAGGCTCGACCCAAGGAGGGCACCCGAGCCAGGTGAGCCTCCTGCTGGAGCGGTGTGGCTGGCAGCGCAGGGGCACATGGTGCCCTTCTGGTAGCACGAGTGAGATGTTTCCCTCGACCCTGACGGTGCCTGTGCTGATGCCAAAAAGCCCCCAGAGATGTTGGCCTGCTGGACACGTTGTCCTCCTGCCAAATGACCTGGTGGTGCCGGGGAGGTGGCTCCGCCTGGGCTCCCACAAGCTCAGTCTGCCACGTCTCTTTAGATTCCTGCTAACAATTGGGCAGAAGTCCCAGGAAGAGCTGAAGCATCCCAGAGCCGACGCTTGTCCACGGGGGCATCTCCCTGCCTGCGTTCCTCAGTCCTCGGGAGTGGTACGCCCTAGGGATCTGACAGCCCCGTGTCCCATCATTTTGGGCTCTGGGCTGGGGCAGAAGAGGCAGCGAGAGCTGCCCCCGCTGTCCCAGCCCTCCCGCCCTGCCCAAGCCCCAGGAGACTAACGCTGTGTGGGTGATGTGTGCGTGGCCTCCAGGGAACGAGTTCCCCCAACACCAAGAGGGCAGAAAAACGGCTGCAGCTGCTGATGGCGTCCCGGCGCCGAGAGGTGGAGGAGGAGGTCTGGCACCGCTATCTTGCCCACAGGATGGGGCCTGGCACGGAGCGAGGCTGGGTATGGCAGGCGCTTGACAGCCCCCAGGAGAAGGGCCTTTCCCCTGCCCGCTCCCTCGGAGGGCGGCAGGGAAGGTCTCCGACCCTGTGCAAGTCCCATGCCCGGGCTGAAGCCGAGGCAGCAGCCCCTGCTCTTGGTGGCAGGGCTTCAGGAGAGTCTCTTCTTGCCTTTGCAGATGTCCTGCCCTTATGTCTATGAGGACCCCTATTGCCCTCCCCACCTCCGCAGAAAGGCCTACGCCGAGAAGCTGAAGGAGAGGCGGGAGAGGGAGCCATGCCAGAGGCCTGCGGGGCCGCGCGCCTCTGAGGGGCAGGCAGAGCTGCGGCTGCCAGGCCTGGCCCAGGAAGAGTAAGTGTGTGCCGGCTCCTGCAGGGGCCGGGGAAAGCCTTGGGTGGCTCCCAGCCCTGGAGGTGTCCGGGCTGAGGAGGAGGGGCTGGCCCACCTGCTGGGCTCTGCCTTCCCAAAGCCGGCAGCCTGTGCTGGCCCTCCCCGCACAGCCGCTCGCTCACCCGCAGACACCACGGCCAGCAGCGGGCCGGCCTGGGCAGCACCTCCCGCAGCCGCTGGCCTGAGCCGAGCCTTGGGGCGCCGCGGGCCCTTCTGCCCGGCCGGGGAGCTGAGGCCCTTTCTTTTGTGTCTCTCAGCACGGAGGAGCCGAGGAGGCTGATGGAGGTGCGCGGGAAGGCCCTGGGACGGCCGGCCATGCCAGGAAGCAGCCGGCAGCCCCGCAGAGAGCAGCCGCAGGGCCCTTAGGCCTCCCGGCGGGCGGCCCTTCCAGCGGGAGAGCTGGCGGCAGCGGGTGGCGGGGCCAGGAGCGCCTTTGCGGAGGAGAAAGTGCCAAATAAAGGGCTCTGGTGCCGGTGTCCGGGCTCAGTGACCCTGCTGCTCCCTGCCCTGCCTTTCTCTGCGGCCAAGGGGACACTCGCTCGGGGTTGTGGGGGCAGTGGGGCCGGGGTCTCTGGCACTGCCAGCCTGGACTGAGTGCCCATGCAGGCAGATGAGCCGTGTCTCTGCCGGAGCACACGGCCTGGGGCTGCTGGGAGATCGGGTGGGACCTGCAAAAGGTCATGGGCTTCTTCTGTGTGTGCCCCAGAGCTGGACCTGGCTCTCCAGCTTGGGTCTTAGCAGAGCAGAGCGGGAGAACCACCTCCCTCGACCAGCTGGCCACATTTCTGGTGATTCAGCCCAGGTTACTCTTGGCCTTCTCTGCTACAAGTGCACACTGTCAGCTCATGTTGAGCTTCCCGTTGACAAGGCCTTCTCTCAGGGCTGTTCTCCTGCTGTTCTCCAGCCAACCTGTATTTGTGCTTGGTATTGCCATGACCAAGGTGCAGGATCTTGCACTTGGCCTGGTTGAACTTCACGAGGTTCACACAGGCCCACCTCTCAAGCCTGTCCAGGTCCCTCTGGTTGGCATCCATTACCTCCATTGACCACTCCTCACAGCTTGGTGTCAGTGGCAATCTTGCTGAGGGGGCACTGAATCCCACTGTCCATGTTGCTGACAAAGATGGTAAACAGCACTGGTCCCAGTACCGCCGCCTGAGGAACACCACTCCCCACTGGCTTCCACTTGGACATGGAACTGTTGACCCCAACTCTTTGAGTTGGGGTTTGGGACTTGGGTCTTTTTAGTCTTGAGAAGACTTAGGGGGGATCTAATCAATGTGTACAAATACTTAAAGGGAGGGTGTCAGGAGGACAGGGCTGGTCTTTTTTCAGTTGTGCCCAGTGGCAGGACAAGAGGAAATGGGCACAAACTTGAGTAGAAGTAGTTCCACCTCAACGTGAGGAGGAACTTCTCACTTTACTGTGAGGGTGGTAGAGCCCTGGAACAGGCTGCCCAGAGAGGTGGTGGAGTCTTCTTCTTTGGAAACATTCTAAACCCACCTGGACACGTTTCTGTGGAACCTGCTCTGGGTGGACCTGGTTTGGCAGGGGGATTGGACTAGATGATCTCCAGAGGTCCCTTCCAACCCCATGTGATTCTATGATTCTATGAGTGCAGCCACCCAGCCAATTCCTTATCCATCAAGTGGTCCATCCATCAAATCTGTATCTCTCCAATTTAGAGACAAGGAGGTCATGCAGGACAGTGTCCAATGGTTTGCACCAGTCCAGGTTTGTCACAGCTGCTCCGATTCTAGCAGCAGACTGTACCTAATTGTGTATTTGTGTGCTCCTTGACTGTCTCTTGCTGTTTGTGAAATGGGACACAAAAGAACTAACCTTACCAGCTGGGCAAAGGCTGGTTTAGGTGCAGGCAGGTGGATCTAGCACTGCACTTGCCCGGGCTGCCTGGCGTGTTGGTGATGCCTTGTCTGCACTGAACACCCCCAGAATTACAACTACGCTTAGAAGCTTCAGTGCATCAAATGGGTTCAAGCATAAGCCATTGGGATTTTCCAAAGTCTGTGACAGCTCTTGAAATTCTCTGGCTGCACCAAAGAAATACCTTTCCTTTTTGGGAGGCTTTTAAGTCACTCCTGTTTGAAGGACAGTTCACTTCTTTCCCCCACCATTGTAATTTGGGGAACATCACAGAGAGCACCAAAACAAATCCTCCACAGCCCAGAGACAGAAAGTGGGCTGTAGCACTCATGTTCTTGTGCTCTGCTTGCACCTATGCCAGCTCAACAGCTGTCAGCACTTCCCTTTGGTTCACCTGGAGATTGATTTTATCTTAATTTGGGATTGGCATTCAGAGGGTGCTCTCTAGCACTTCACTAACTTGGGCTCCCATCCTGTTCACACACTTTGCATTCCATGGTGATTCAGAAACAAGACCGTAAACCTTTGAGCACAAAAGATTATTCAAAACTGGTATGGGGGTTTTTTGGGTGTTTTCATGTGAAAGAGGTTTTACACAAATTACTATGAACACTTTAGTTGATAGTGATAAGTCTCTATTATTGCAATTTATAATTAACCAGGTGAGTACTGAATACTAACCTAGTAAGGGCAAGGCCAACAGTGATGCATAATTTATGTGAGACTCTGGTATTACTACTATTACGTGATACTACTGTACAGAAAGCTGAAAAGATGTAAAGAAGCAGCCTGGAGTTTTGCTTGCAAAATTAAAGTATTTCATGCCTCACTGTCATTTGCAGTGGAACCCCCCCTGGTCAGACAGCAGTTCAGTGATACACAACCACAGGAGGCCCAAGAGAAGTGAGCTACCACCTACACTCACCCCACCCAAAGCACCCTGCAGAGGGGGAAAGGTGTTAAGGGGCACCAACAGCCAAAAAAAAACCAACAAACAACATTTTGACTTTGCTGTAATGAGTATGGCTGTAACAGAATTTAATAATTCAGAGAGAAATCTCCCTCTTCAAAATTAAAGAACAGCTATAGCTGTAAAGATTACACCTGCCGCTTCAGAGAGGATAAAAGTGGACTTTTTAATAGCAGCATTAATTCCAAGGTTATGGTGGATAAACACACATTTGCTTCTACCAAACTCTGGAAGTAAGCAATACAGAAATGCAAACATACATTACACATTCAAAATTGGTTTTGTTTTTGTTTTTTCTTATTCCTGTGCCATCACTAACCACAGCAATGTATTAGATTGCTTTGTGTGGACATATCCCCATTACAGAGAAACACTGAAGTATTAAACAGTCTATTCAGACAACAGCACACTTCTCGTGTCTCCCTTGCCAAACACAGGATTATTCTTTCCCCAGCACAACTCCCAATTTAAGCAGAAAAACTGCACAATACACCATTAACTTCCTACAGAGTACAAAGGATGAGAAGGACTTATGCTTGATTGTTATATTTTCCCCTCCATAAATTATGAAAATATATTTCAAAAAGGAATCCAAAATAGTCTGTTGTACAACTTTGTATCTTCAACTTACAAACACATAAAAATCTGTGGGGGAGTACAAAACAGCATTAATACAGTAGGAGTTTTATTTACATCATCAGTATAGGATATCAAACTTTTTACATATACGCTTCAGTCTCTCCTTTCAGAAGGGCCAGGCTTCCAAACAGCAATTTTTCTTTGAAGGTATAAATTTTAATAAAACCTTCAAATGCTGACAACTCACCAAACATGTACTCAGGAAACACACTATACAATTGCAAAGTAAATTAAAAAGTGTAAAAAATAAAAATAACTTAAGAGCGACACTGCTTATCTACAGTCTCTTCCGAACTAATTTCAGTCATCATTTATTGCTCTCTTTTTATCAGTATAGATTATTTCATGGCTCAGGAGAGGCAGGGAATAGCTTCTACTTTAGTATTTGGCTCGGGTCTGACCCTGCAAAGTTAAGAGGAAGCTGCGGAGAGTTGCCTTGATGCTGACACAGGCTTGGCCTTCTAAAGCCCACCTAAGTAGCCCAAGCAGTACTTACGTGCAGACCATACTGCCTTTAGCAAAGGCCTTCATAGCGTATTAACCTATTTGGGCGAGTCACTTGTTGGCATTGTGTTGTACTCAGTCACTATCGTACTCCTCTATTTTTAATTCTTCTTCCTCCATGATTGCTTGAGCTGCGACGGGCTGAGGCTGGCTGCAGGGCAGTTCACTTCCACTGCCCTGGCTTGAGGAGAGAGGGAATCCGTTGGGTTCGTCCTCGTTGGTTCTGTTTGTCTCCATCTGCGCGGCCGTCTCCACAGTGGGCACGTCGGCACAGTCCCCCTCCGTGCCAATAAATACCTCTGGTATCCCAGGGTCTTTGTCAGTGAGCGTTTCGAGCTTTAACCTGTAAAATTGTCATTGCAGCAGTGAGTTACCACATAAAAACACCCCCATCTCCTGCGATACACCTTCTGTGCTGACATCACTACCTTCAGTAGTTATGTTTTTTACAGCTCTGTTGCACATCGTTCCAGGCACAGATACTCATGCCTAGGACTCACAGATGACACGGGGTTTCCTCCCAGGGAAGGGACTGCACTACACAGCCTCCAACCACAGCAACAGCAGAACCTGCCTGTGTTCTGTCGCTCCCCGGTACCCGCTGCTGCCCCAAGTTCCTTCCTTACAGTGTCCTCAAACCAGGACACTGAGGTTCCCTCACACACGTGAGCTGCTCACAATTAGCTAACTGAAAACTGCCCATTAGACCATTTCCAAGCAAAACCGAAACCCTATCGGACAGGAAACAATTTAACTTGGAACAAGCAAATTTAAAAGAAAAAAAAAAAAGAAAATCTTTTTATATTTTGAAATTTCTCTTACTATTTGGACTTCTCAATCTTTGTAGCATCTCTCTATCAGTATGTTACCTATGTTCCCTTCATTATTTTTACCACTTTACTTGGGAATAATAAAAATTTATACAGTTACTGGTCAAATACCATGCAGCCTCCTCAATGCCAGATTTCTTACTCCAGTACCATTTCCATTCCATTAATACACATAACAGAGAATAAATATTACCGTTTTAAAGACTGCTTAATAACACAAAATAAATTATTTTCAATTAGGATTCCTGAAGGAAGCAAGTGCTTAACGAAAATACCTACATTTGTCTATACTCCTTTCCAAAACAGTGAAGAAATATAAAACAATTACTCCGCCTTCAGGAGAAAGTCACCCCTCAGATAAAACTCCAAATGACACACACCCAAGTTACTACTGCAGATACAAATAAAGATATGCTGCGGACGTAATTTATGACATAGGAAGTCTACAATTAATTCGTGAAGTTATAAAGGTTTTGGCTTAGATGAGGGAGGTGGCAAAGAAATACACCCATTAGGGACACTTCCCTTTCTTCCTCACTAGCAGCCAAAATAGCTTTTAATACAACTGCTGGGGAACAGGGTGGTTCTTGGGAAATACAGCCTTTACCTTACAGGGCAGTATCATAACTCAGACAGCAACAGCACAGTGATAAATACAAGATGCTTTGAAGGATGCCCTGACAAACTCTCTTCTCCTGGCTAAGAGATGAAAGAGTGAGTGTCATTCCAGCTAACTCTGACCTCGATCTTTAATTAGAAACACACCATCACAATCAAAAATCTTTTTAAATTTCAGAGATATCAAAGTTACAGATGTGTAACCAAGGGTCTATGAAGATAAATGATGCTGATAATTCAGAAGACTCTCTGGAGTCACAACATAATGTCACACCACATCAGCCCATGAGCTCTACACAACCTCTAAGCTGAGCGCTGCGGTCTTACAGCGGAAGGGAGAAGTATTTATTCAGTATTTAACATCTAAGGCAGAGGGACTTCAACAACTATAATTTTATTTAAAAACCGCAATCTAAACAAAGATTTACTCTGAGCAGTCCAACAGCAGAAATTTCACAAAACAAAAATCAGTGCTGCTACCTAACGTCAGAGGAAGCACTCATCAAAATGCGTCATGGTTTCATAGAGATACAGCTGCTTCAAAGGATATAAGAATAATTCCTCACTATACCTTCCTTCTTACACCTCAACACACACATGAACACAGAATGTTCTACCACGCTTCCACATTAATATTTTATGTCATGACAAACAATAGGCAAAGTGCACTATACTTTATGCATTCATTCTGTTTTATTCTCACATAAATGCTTTTGACTGTAAAAAAACATATTTTATTCAGATCATGCACCAGAGAAACATAGATATGTCTAAGACAGAGCTAATATTTGATACAATGGAAAAGAAAGCTAAACAAAGATTAAAAGCAAGACTACATTAAAAATGTTGCTACTGATGTAATGATAAATAGATCTGAACTGGAAGAAGTTTTAACAGGCTAGGTATAAAATTATCATGTTGCAAATGAGGGAAAATATGAAAGGGTTCTTTTCCTCAATATATTAAGAACAAAGAAGATCTTACTTTCTTTAAGAAAAGACAGAAGTCAAGTTTACCTCCCAAAATGTCTTTTCAGCGGTAGCCTCCCAACATCTTGGATAAAAGAAATCTGAGCTGAGAGAAAAGAATCACCAGTATCATACTGGGTAGAGCATAATGCACTTGCAAATAAACACAGTGGAACATCAGTAATTCATTAGTTTAGTCAAGTATTCTTATATACATTTGCAGTATTTTAGATATCAAAACACTGCACACATATGTCTGTATTGATTTTTTCAACCTGTTTAACATATTATCATATTTACATATTGCCTACATATAAAAAAACATCCCTGACATTCATCAACTGTATTTATGATGTAGAGTTAGTATTCCATAGGCTACAAAATGAATTCATCCTCATGTCAAGGCCTTAGTTAAACCATGAAGCCTCATATTAGAAATAACTGTCATAGCATAAGTTTCCCAGCTGTCTAAACAGTAATTTTTGGATTATATACTATACAAAGTAAATTTATCCACATGAACTGTCTGCTATTGGATGCTTTACTTACAAAAAAATAAATTAATTACTTTTAATTACAAAAAAAAAAAAAAAAAAAAAGAAGGGATAGTCCAAGATGAAGAGTTACATCCATCTTACCTTGGTTTCTCATTGGATTTGCTAACATGGCAAGGTAAGGCAACAGCTCTGTCTGAAGACACTCCGGTGGTAAGCAGAAGCTTGAAAAGAGAGATTTTGCAGCAAGGCAATTTTCTTGATACTGTCAGAGTTGGGGGGAAAAGAAACACAAGTAAAAAAACTGATAGATCATTATTAAAGTAGATACTCTGTACCATAAAAGACAGACTTTCTTCTTGCATGATGGATGAATACATGTAAGCTACTGAAAAATCGACTAGAAAAAAATGATAAGCAGTTATAGTTAACATACACAGATTGTAAAAGTGGTGAATTCCTTCATTTTTGCCTTTTGCTGCGCATTAAAATTTCCAGAACATATTTATCCCTTGATTACAGAATTCCCTGCCCATCCAGGCCAGTTATTTTTTTGCCAAATACAGCAAGAGAAATATTAGTTCAAATGTAAAAAAATGATAAGCGCTTTGGTGTCTCATGAACAAGGTACTTCTGATAAACACATGAAACATAACAGTAATAATCTGTTAAACTTACACAACAGTCTAATGTGATTTAAACGGCACAAAAACTTAAACTTACTTTTACGAATACTTTATAGTATTTCAACACTTAACTGTGTCTCCATTAACTTAAAGGATTAAGATTCTCCCGGCAGTATGACAATTTGGACACAGGAATCGGACTTTGTCAGAGGCCTCCAATTTATTTTTCCATTAAAGTAATAACAGAAACGTAACTCTTCTTCTTCTTTAAAAGTAACTTATAGCATATTTGACAAGTTTAGCACTGTAAGCAAATCTTACTACTCAACTGTCATACCATTAAAAAAAAAAAAAAAAAATCAAGCATTTACCTTTTTATTAATAAAGAACCACTGGGGTTTATGTAAAGGCCGGAACCCCATCCCTCCTTGGTGGTGGGCAAAGGCTCTGGATGTGTTTGAATGTATGACCCCTCGGGTAGCCACAGAGGCACTGTATTTTTCCATCACAGACCGTGTCTAAGAGAGAAATCAGGCATTATGTGAACTCAAGGTCTCCGTACAGGGTGTCTCACTTGCACTAAAACACACTCTGCAATTGCAGTGATGTGACACACCCAGAATATGTTTACATTACTCTGAAACCTTCACTCAAAACAGCTGAATAAAAAGGCTAGCTCAATCATTTCAGGGAAAAGGCACACAGACTCCAACACATTTTTAGCATAGATATGTTCTACTTAAAAGTACTTTTTGTAGAATATTTTACAAATGCTGTAACTCGCTATAATAAAATACTGACATAAGTTGGACAAAAATTTAGACCTACATTATCTTCTATAGTTAATGTAATATAACATTCATTAACAATTCACTGTCACCTGTACTGTGTGAAGTGATATAGCTTAGTTCTTAAGTGAATTGTCAAAAAATTTGTTTCTACCATTCATAAACACTTCAAGACAAATTTAGAAACTCATCATCAGAGACTTAAAAAAAATAAATATATGCTTATAAGTAGATGACACTTACACTCCAATTACTACAAAGGACATCAGCGGCGCTTAAATATTCACTGGCTCTCACTACATCATCTATATCAGAAAAAAAGTCTACATAGTTCTGGTGAAGGTACAAGTTAAACATACTTCCGGACATATGTGACTTTTCCACAATATCCTATTAGGACAAGAAAAAAAAGTTCAAGTTTTACACAGTGTACAAGGAAAAGCATCCTATAGAAATTATGATACATTTAGACCATTAGGGAGCGGGCACACAGGACCTACGAAGTGATGCTTATTATAAATGAGAGGTTGGTTGGCTCCATGGAGGTTGGTGGAGATAAAGGGGCAGAAGCCATTGCTGTCTTCTCTTAAAGGGTGGCAATAGAAAGGGTGAACTCTGACTCCTCTTGGCAATGCATGGGGAAAGGATGAGAGCTTAACAACCACAGGCTGCAGCAAGGGAAAGTCCACCCTCCAGCACAATTCCAACAGTGAGGTGAGAGAATCTCTGTCTCTAGAAATACTCAAAACTCGACAGATCAAGAGCCCGGGAACCTGATTTGAAGGTAGCCTACAGATGTCCTTTCCAGATTAATTATTCTGTAACTTAGACAGACTGATTACACATATATTAAGATCAGTGACAAAACCACTGTGCTTTAGAATTTGCATAAATCACTTAAGAGTTTAGTTTGGTTTATTTTTTTTCTAACTGAACTAGAATTGAGTAGTTATTGCAGATGTACCTCAGGCTGAATGAGCAAGGTGTCTCGACGGTATTCTGATAAGTGAGCAGGCAGCTGAGGAATTTCTGATTCTGACACTGGTTCTCCTACAAAGGATTTTACAATCTTTAGTCTTTTAGTATCAGAAATGTTGTTTACATTTCTGCACATAATCAAAAAAAAAAAAGCCAGAAGAAAGGAGACACACATTTCAGATTAGAAATTACAAATAGAATAAAAACTATATAGGAGCAAGGACAGAAATGTGCAACTGCACAAACAGTAGTGTTCAAATCTATCGAGCAGTGTTTTTAGCCACTGTCAATTCTATCAGCAACTAGATAACACCATTTTCAGTTCCCAGAAAGCTCTTGATGCAGGCATAAGTACTTAATTATTTAGTCAACAGCACATGATTAGTTACATCACACTTCATATAAACAATGTCATTTAATTATTTTCATATTCCCTCATCTCACTATTTCTCCTCAGTTGATTTTGAAACTGACATTGTGAATTACTCCTGAAATGCAGACAGCCAATGGCATTATGGATCCTGATTTAGCTGACTGCAGATAGTACTATTTTAGCAAGTTGCAAATGCTTATGAATGATAGTTTTCAGATGCTAAAAAAACAGTACTATAACCACACGCAGGGAGCAGATTTTGCAGAACCTGAGTGTATAGAAAGTAGAACTTTCAGTACTAAGGTGGAAAGTATTTGGGAGAGGTTGAAAGGGAAACAGGTTATGACAGAGAAGTGGAAGAGGTTTTCAGGTCAGAAAGGAGAGAGCACACACGTCCATTAAAGGGAAACAAAGAGTTGAGATAAACAGTAGAAAGGAAAAGACATCAGGAAAAGTCAAACTCATATGCACAAATAAAGGAGGCAGTACCTATGAGGCTGCAGGGCTGTTCTGTATCCTTTGGAAATACAGACAAGTACAAAACATAACCATACAACAGTGTATAATTATGCACAAAACCAAAATCTGCTTTTGCACAATACAAGAAGTGGTGGCTATTATCTAGCCTTGGGTGCATGACCTAATGCAACTAAAGTTATATCATCTAATTACATACATGTAGTACACATTAATGAAACGTTTATTTATCTGATGGATACCAAAAGCTGCAGTCTCAGTTACCACAAACTTTTATTACTGTTTTTATACTGTTACTAATGACCAAATGTGTGAATTAGAGCTTACCCTAAGCCTTAATTTAACAAATCTAGCTACTAGCAGCTGACATGCTTTGCCCATTGGAAGGAAAAGTCAGTCAAAGCTTTCTTACTTTTGCAGTAAATTATTTTCCCCAGGGCATGGAAAAGGAAGATGGAAGCATCTTTGCCACCAATAGCTTGTATCTCCTGATCTTCTGAAGTATCAGATTTACTTTTCTTTCTCGCTTTAGATACTGCTGCTGCTTCAGATTTTAGCGTGGAGCTCCTTTTCTTCCTTGACCAAAACTCCTTCTCCAACGAGCAGTCTACCAATAAAAGCAAAAATACGATCAGGAATGATTGTACATGAATCCAAAAAAGTTTTCTATCGTATTGTTACTGCTTATGTTCTAAACAAACAAATAAAAAAAACACCAAACAGAAAAGGTTATATAAAAGGGGCATGAAGAGAAAACTCATCTATTAGGAAGACAACCCAATCACCTAAACTAGCCTGTTTCATTCCATTACTGTCTCTTAAGCCACAGCTAAGGCACTGAGTACTTTTTTGAATAACAAATACGTCTTTAAAAAAAGCAAGTATTCTTGCTTATTCATTCTAGTTCTGATGCATCCACAACTTTCCTTTCTTAAAAAATTCTTCTTTATAAAGTACAACTGCCACCATATGTAAATTAAATTTCAGTTACATTCTGTTCACTTATCAATTTATCTTCCACTTGCATTATCTGCATAATACCCTCACTAAAATAAAAGGAAGCAAAGGAAAGCTTTCCTTTAGCTGATTCTTCCAACAGGCTACTATTTCTACAATGTTTTGAGATGCAAGGAATAAAACCTTTCTTCTACACATACTTAAAAGTAAAAAATTTTCACCCACGATTTGATTTAGTGGCAGATTAATGTTCCTTATCAAACTAGAAGATAAATATGTAAAAGATAAGTCCTTTCTCTTCTCCAAAGATTACCATGGATCCATTTTACCAATTAATACTACAAAACTGAATGTATTGCTTGTGTTGACACACGTACACAAGTGAAAAAAGACATTATATATGAACTAATAATGCATTCTCAGGAGATCAACAGGAGGTGAGGACTCTCCAAAATTTACAACACCCCACTGGCTGCCAATCATTTACTTCAGTGAAATACCTGAACAACTGAAAAATTTCTATTCAACATGAAAGCAGCTCTTCTCAATCTTTTAGAGAAAATGCAGCAAGAGACTGTTCTGTGTGGTATGACAAGTACACAATCCTGAGATGTCATACAGAAGCTGTCAAGCCATATGCCTTTGTTTTCTCCCAAGTTCTTTTTGTAACTCCCACATTTTTACATTTCTGAGATAATTTATTAAAAGTTACATAAACTGGTCATTTTAAGACTATTTAGATTTTCACAGTATGTAGAAGATACTTAATATCCAGCAGTGAGCTAATGCAAACTTTTCTCAGGTAACCCCAACCTACTATTTATTAGCTCAGCGGTGTTATCACCAAAATGGTTTTACTGAGAAAAATTTTATACTTTTCCGATTAACACAGAACAATACAAACTTATTATACTAGAAAACATCAGAAGAATTTAGATTCCACGTTTGCACGTTAAACCTAGAAACGTGACACTCTCCCTCAGGTAATTAAACAAACACAGCCAAGTTATTTTCAATATACTGTAAAATTCAAACTACAACACTCCCTCTTACAATAGGGACTTGAAACAACATTTAATCCTGTGTTCTGTGAGCACATTTTTCATTTGCAAGATGGATAGGAGAGAAAAATGAATAAAAGCAACAAGATCATTGCTAGATTTATGACATACAGCAGAAAACAACTGTTGAATTCACTTCCTTACTTCTGGGATGAGTATAAAAGCTGGCACCATCTAACGGTTCTTTACATCACTACACATGCCAGAGTACTGCTTTTAAAAAAATCACAGCTTATGTAACTTGCATAAATTGGTTTCTTAACAATTACTGGCTTCCAATGCTTATACAAGACATGACAGTAAGTTTCCTGTTTCCTTTTGATGTTTGGAACATTCAATATCATCCCAAACTAAGTCTGATTTGAGCATTGTCCAACCAAGTACTTCGAAGATGACTAAAACACTGAAATTGGAAGTTATTCTATAATACACTCAATAACTTCACAGTAGGTCATGCTACCTCACAATTTTTCAATTTACCAATGTCCACAGAAACTCCAAAGCAAAATCAGTCATTACAGAAGTCCTGGACACAAAGTCAGTGGGCTAGTTCAGAAATGGTTTAAAAGTAGAGATAAGGACATGTAGAAGTATAAAGAACCAAGCAATGAAAATACCCCTCTCAATTTAAAGGTTGCATCACAAAAGCTTTTATCAGTAAACAAACACCAATAGCAAAAATATCAAGAAAAGAGGGCATTTCATTAGTTACATCAACACATACATAGCAGATGTTACTCAGTTTTAAGACTACTTATCTTCAGCTTTACAAAAGAAAAAAAAAACAACCAGACTTTGTGCCTTTTATTCCTGCTCCAGAGCAGCACGTGAAAGTTTTGCGCAGCTCACCCAGCTAGTGAACAGCATACCTTTACAGCAGAAATGGTCAAAACATCATTCACTTAACAAAATCATAGGTATTTACCTTTCATAGAATAAAACTGAAGACTGTTTATTGCACTTCTTATATCCCCTGAGCAACCTTTGCAAAGCAACTCCAGAGCAGTTCTATCAAGAGCACAATTCTTTTCTCTGTTCTACAAGGAAAAGTAACATTCAAAGCAGTAAGAAAAAGTAGGAAATGAAGTATTTGAATATTATGCTGAGTGTGGGGACCCACCTCTGAATACACATTGCAAACAGACTACATGAGCCCCCACCACATGCTCAAACCATATAAAATTGCCAACTTTAAAACATTGTGTTTGCCACATTTTATACTGCAATATTAAAGACAATAATGCACATAATTTTTTGCTAGGTGTCACTTGGTATTAGACATATTTGTAATCGAAACAGTTCAGGCATAATACAGGATTTAGGTTCGTGATCTCTTCTGGCCTTGATGGTACAAAGAGAATTACTTCTACACCTACTATTTGTTTCATATATATACTTTCTGTAATAGGCAGAAGAATTTTCAGAACTAACTCTGAAGACTTAAAACAAGGATCAAGTGGAACTAATGTTAAAAACAAGACATCTTTCCAGTTTACTCCTTGTTTTCTGTTGGGGGGGGATTGGTGGTGATTTTTGTGGTGGTCTGCTATCAAAGATCAAACAAATACAGTAACAAAAAAACCCACATAATTTCAGAAATAAAAGTCTGAAATCTTTTGGTCCTAGCACTGCACAGAAGTTATCAGTTTTGACAACTTACCATACTAGCTTCTGTTGCAGCTATTCGATTAAGAACTTTCATCATATTTGTGGGTGCAATAGGCTTGAAACTGTTGAATTTCATTTAAAAAAAAATTCATTAGTTTCTGATTTCTCATTTATTTCAGTCAAGTTTTAATGAGATTGAAGATCTTACCTAATACAGGATATACACAACTCCTCTACAATTTCCGTTGGGAATAGTAACCTCAGGTTGCTGTCTCCACTGAAGTTATCTGAGATTATAAATATAAGGGGACATCTACTTGTACGAACAAATCTCCTAAATTGAGAAATAAGCAAGTATAACAAGAATCAAACTCCAATATACTGCAAGTGGCTAAAGCTTAACATGAAAAACTTACTTGCAACTGACCTGAGAATTTCATGTAGACTGCTAGGATCTCGATAGAATTGGTTGGGAATGTCCTATTCAAAACAAATGAACTGCTGTCATTACATTTGGGTGTAAATACTCTCTCCCACAGACTGACTGTTATGGCACACTAGGCTGCTACACATTTTCTCTTCCTAGTAAGCCTGCTTTCAGCTAAATTTCAATGCGGCTAACAGTGAAGATAACCGGGGGGGAGGGAACAAAGGGGGGAAAAAAAAAAGATCATTTTTTTCCATAATAAAAGAAAAAAGTACTATCTAAAAAATAAGCATTTTCTTTCTGTCCTTGTTTCCTAAGAAACAGCCTTGGGTGATTACATTGCCTACTAGAGTTTTACCCGGAGGATAAACACTCAAGGCAGTAGCTCCACTGAGGAAGAGGGCAGGATATGCTACTTGAGAGATGAGAGAACCGACACAAGGAAGTGACTTCATGAAAAGAAGTCACAGAAAACCATGCTTCCTAAATGCTAAAAGTACATCACATTACTCAGCTAGAATTTTTTTATCTCATCTATTCTTTTTCTTGAAAGCTTACGGGCAAGTTGACTCTCATAACTTATAAAACTCCTCGGTCAGAGAACATGACAAGTTCAGGAATAAGATACTACTGAAATACACTCCTGAAAAAGTAAAAATAAAGTCTGCTCCTGTACCTCCCACTGTAGCTTACACACCCTCAGAGTTCACATCTCTTCCCTAAATAGCACCACCTGCATAAGACCAGGGAATGCAAAATTTCAAATACTTTCTGATTGTATTAATTTTCACGTATCTTCTATACTCTCCTGCATCCTTAAATAGCAAGAATAGTGGTGAGTTTTCCCCTCTTCCCATTTATACACTACATATTTCTAGAAAGTTAATCATACAGAAACATGAGTATGACTTTTCAGTATTGTTTTGATCTACTTTTTGATACTCCATTACTTATTTCTGTACACAAACTAGTCTCCAATTTCTGCCTATTAGCTGATATAGTTTAACCACAGGTAGAACTTTGTTCTAGCCTGCTGTAGAGACTCAAGAACTAATAAAGAACTCATTTGCAGTAAAGCAGACTAACTTTTAGCAACTCCAATCCACCATCTGAATCTAGTTAGCATGTCAATATTATAATAAAAAGTATTCTTTTCAAAACAAGATTTCACAAGTTTTCACTTACTTCAATAAGAATAAGCTTTTTATCATTTTCTGAGGACTCCCCAAGCATCTGAAGTTTGTTATACTTATTTGCTCTTAATAGAAAATCTTGAAAGAGAGCTGCTTGGGCCTGACTCGGAAACGTATGAAAATTTGAGTCTGAAAAAGAAAACTAATTAAAAATACGTATTCTATACATTATACCATGTAGAATAGAAATACCCACAAAAGCTAATACCCACCCATCTTATTTTCTGACAATAGCCAGTGAACATCAGCAGCCAAGCCCTTTGTCAAACATATGACAAATAGAAGAGAATTTTTAAGGTGTAACATTCAATTGAGGTCCCAGACAAAGACAGACCTATTTTTATTTAATTGGCTGAAACGATATCCAGGCTATTACATAGCTCTCTATCCTGATTTAAATTGCAAATTATTTTGGAATAAACATTGGGGAAAAAAAAAAAGTTCCTTTTCAGATAAATGTAAATGTTAAGATTCTTATTCAGCACTAAGGATTTGACTTCCTTATGTGACAGACATAAAAAAATTAAAAAATACAGAATGCAAAAATCTTACAAAAGTAACTGGAAAGAAAAAAAAAATACCTACCATGGCCAAACATATTTTTTAAGTCTTCTTTTGTAAAGTCTAAAGATACTGGATTGATCCATTCTTGCACCTGAATGCCAAGATCTTTTGCTAATATTTCTATAGTTGCAGTCTTCCCACAACCAGGAGGACCAGTCAGCAGTAAAACAGAGCTACCCTGTCACAGGGAAGGGAAAAACACAAAACAAAACAAAAGCCACACATGATAAATAAAGACTGAAAGGTGGCTGAAGATTAATATTGGCTGAATTTCTTCTATAGTTTCTCTGGTAATGATTCTCTTTCCCCAGTAAAAACTGACTTAAATATTTCGTGTTATTGATTTACCTGTTGAGTATTCACATAGAAAGAACTCTGGATGCCTTGCTCTCAGTTTTTAACACATCTGTTCACTTAATGCACACCACGTACACTAGCAACATAAAACATAATGAACTGGGGATATATACATACTGAACACTAATACATACTGAACTGAAACTGGGTAACTTCTTATCAATCCAATTAAAAACATCGTATTACATCAAGTCATTGCAACCAGAAATTTGCCAAGGTATTTAATCTGTGGGATACAGAGTGCAGCCACAAGCACACACCAAAGAGGTATGAACTGACTGGATACTAGAAAATAGTATTTCTGATCAAAAATCAGAGACTCCACCTCTTAGCAGCAGAAGCCCTAATCAAATGTACAAGCTCTTAATCTATGTTCTTAACAGATTTTTTTAATAGCGTAACAGATACATAATCACTACCAGTAAGTTAAGGTTTTCCTCTGAAATTAAAATAAAATTGAATCCAGCTCATTTGTATGGTTTTGTATCTCTCGCTGCTAATTTTAGCAAGATTACCTGCTTTGGCTGCCTCTGAAATATGTGCAGTTTTAACCAGGTTTCAACTTCTTCAATCTTCTTCTTTTGCACAGCTAGGTCATTCTAAAACAAGATTAAAATATATCAAATTCATATGTACACCTCTTGTTTTCTAGGAGTGTAACGGTAAGATTGCACACCAGAATATATGCCAACTGAAATACTACCAGACGTATACCAGTATATTCCAGTTACATATATTTATGCTATGTAGAAGCGCAACAGTTAAGGATAATCTTTTCAGCCTGTTTCCTCAAACAACCAGTTTTCCATTGCTTGCAGTTGGAAAATAATGAATTATTTATTAGTCCTGAAGTAACAACATTACAATTTTGCCTGTTTGTGTCAGTACACTTTACAGCTATTGCTGGAGCTGGTACTTTTTAGGCTTTACTGATCAATACTACATAGATTTTTGGAGCTTTTGCAAATCTCACACAGCTCACTCTTCTCCTAACCTTGCAACCCAGTTCTTCTCCACAGGTGAGCTATTACACATTTAAATATGAAATACAAGTACTACACTAACTTACTTAAAACAACCAGCACTCAAATCTGCTTTAATCAATTCCACAAGCAGAACCAGTGACGACAGGTTTATTACAGATTTGAGCCCTTTCTCCTTGAAGCCCTAAGGTACCACAGTACCCTCCCACTCACAAAGTCACGCCTGGGATGCATCGAATAAGCAAGTGATAGTGCAAAATGCACGTAGTCCTCAGTGCTCTGAACACACTAACAGACCAGCTGACTGCTGTCCAGTTACACGTGAGATAATGTCTGTCCCTTTTCCCCATAACTAGTGCACTAACTCAGTCCCCTCCCCTTTCTTCAGCTGTGGATTCTTCCTAGTGCTTGGAGTTGTTAGATCTGGCTGAAATTCAATAACCAGTTTCAGTAACGGGGGTGGATGGACAGGGAAAATCTTATTAGTAGCTTTATCTCCTCAGGAAGCCTGAGGGAAAAAATTGCATCTCACACAGATAAATAGCTCATTAAAATCTTACCTACAGGCAGGAAATAAATCAAATTAATATTTCACTGCCATCATAAAATAGGATATACTGAGAATGAATATGAACAGAAGCACAACATGTCACACTTTAACGTTACTATTGCATTAATATTTAGAACAATTCTCACACCTGAGTTTCAGGTTTGTATCTGTCTACCCATGGCTCATCTTGAGATTGGCCCCATTTTTGTCTGGACTTGTTAGAAGGCAGATCCACTGAAGACGACTTTGCTCTTTTTCTGGGCAGAACTTTGGATTTGCCACTTTCTGGTACAGAAGGCAGGTCTTTCTTCTGCTGCTGCCGTTTTCTTCCAGCGTTACCTTCTAGTGGCTTCACAGGAACAGCACTGGAAGAAATATTTGCGTTTCCAAAGAAGTCATCAAACGAACGGGCCAACCAATCTGTTACCTGGGAAAATACAAACATTCCACTATTAATGCAGCACTCTCCTCCACTTAATTGGATGCAGTTGTCTCTGGAAAATTCAAGATTTTCATCAAGTGTATACAAAAATATCTAGTAGATGTAAAGAACTTCATTTAACATCAAAAGGCATACTACTAGTTAGCAGCAACCATGGGTACTTACGCTTTTTGAACGTGTCAACTACACGCTTCTTCAGTATTTGTAAAAAGCTATACCTCACATATTGTGATACAGTACTTTGCAGCAAACTGGTAAATCGGAACAAGCAGAAAATTCTACAAACACACATTCAAACTAAAGAAGTAAAACAGAGATAAGAATGAAAAAACAGTATAAGCTTATTCCTTTAATTTTTATGTTAAGGTCACATTCATGTTGTTTCTATAGAGTTTTCAGTATGTGGCACTTTTTTTTTTTTTTTTACATCTACAATGCAGCCATTTGTGTTTAAATGGTAGAAATAGGTGACAGAGAAAAAATGCTTAGGGAGCACAATAAAATCAAGCACTACTTGTTTGCTGTGTGAGGAAGCTTGGACTGATCTATAATCAGACTGCCCAATGTACCAGAAGTCTGTCTGGCCATGACAAGGAACGAAACTGCTAATAGTTTCAATATTTAATTTGGGATTTGAGAAATACCCTGCTAGGACTGGTGTACAAACTTCTTCCCCAGAGCAACTTTTCAGCCTACCTATGGTCCCAAAATAATATCCCATGGGTCACATGCTCTCCACTGCTAACAATCCCACGATAAACTTTCAGCATAGGGACTGTAACAGGCTACATGCCAAAAAACCACACTTCTGCGAAAATGGGAGTTAGAAAACAGACACGTCATCTCCAGAAAGGCCTACAAATACTCTATATACCTTAATAAATTAATGCAACAGACCATTACCAGACGAGATTATGTGAGAGTAGAAGGCAGCAGCAGCTGGGAAACAGGATCCATCTCTGCGTGGTTGGCTTTTAACGTTATTCTGACAAAAACTATTTTTAGTTGAATTTGCATATCTACCAGCGGGCCCGATACCACCGGGTGAGGGGGTTCCCTTTTTATACACTGCACCACTAAGTAAGAAAATAAGCATCTTACACGGCGGGTGGGTGGGGAGGGGAATAAAAAACCAACAGAAGAAGGGCTGCCAACAGAGAGACCGAGGAGTAATTATTGAGTGTAAACACGCTGCTAATTCCTATTAGCATTCCTATTAGCAATTGCTATTGCGGGACTATTCCCGCAAGCTGCAAAAAGCTTTCTGAGGAGGGGCGGTGGGCGCCTGGGCATCCCTCAGCCCCTGTCCCCCGCGGCCTACCTCCGCCGGCGCCGCCTGCCTTCCCGAGGAGCTTCCAGACATCCTCAGCCCGGGCGGTGACCCATCCGCCGTGCGGCCCCCGGGTCCTGAGGGGGGAGAGCCCCGCTCACGGGGGCGGCCGGAGCCGAGAGAGCCGCCAGGAGGGCCGAGGGTGCGGCGGGACCCGCTGAACCGGGGCCGAGCCCCCTCACACCGAACCGCCGACCTCCCCAGGGGTCCTTCTCCTCCAGCGGCTCTTAGCTGTCCGGGGCGCGCCTGCCCGCCTGCCCGCCTGCCCGCCCGCTCTCTAGGGAAAGGTGGGTGACGCCATCGGTCTGCGCCGTCACTGTGAGAGGCCCCCGCGCACGTGTCTCCTAGGCGACCAGCGACCGCCGCCGGGCAGCATGAAGCGGCCCAACCTTCTCCTCACCGGTGCGGGGCGGCGGGGCCGGGCTCCGAGGCTGCTCCGGGCCGGAGGGTACCGGTGGTTCCCGGTGGTTCCCGGGCCGCTTGGCCCCGGCGGGGCTCCTGGGGTGCGGGCGGGGCCTGGGCCGGGGCCTGTGCTGGGGCGGCGGAGGGAGGCCCTAGCTCTCCTCACAGTCCGGGGGGGGGGGTTTGGGGGGGGGGTCAGGGTACCGGTGGTTCCCGGTGGTTCCCGGGCCGCTTGGCCCCGGCGGGGCTCCTGGGGTGCGGGCGGGGCCTGGGCCGGGGCCTGTGCTGGGGCGGCGGAGGGAGGCCCTAGCTCTCCTCACAGTCCGGGGGGGGGGTTTGGGGTGCGAGTCCCCGTGTAGCTCTGTATGAAAACCTGGGCCTTCTCCGCGTCAGTTTGGGCCTTTAAACGAGGCAGGTTTTACTTTGGCGCTGTCCTGGTTAGAATAACACAGTTGAACAAAGTGAGTTTTCTTCGTGGGTTTTGTTTTTAATCTCTAGGCGCTGTTCCTATTTGGTTTTTTTCTTGTCATACAGCTTTTTGCCCTGTTTTTCTTGTGCGAACTTACCATCCTTGGCTGGCAAAAGTTTCCTTTTTGGCTCCTTAGAAAGTTATTTGAAGATGTCTTAACGTGCTCCCCTCTAACCGTTCTACATGGGGTTTTTTCCTCAGGCACGCCGGGTGTGGGGAAAACCACGCTCGGAAAAGAACTGGCCTCAAGAACTGGGATGACCTACATTAATGTGGGTGACATGGCAAAAGAAGGTAGGCCATAGGAACAGCCCATCAAAGTACTTTAGAAATTTTTGCGTTGTGTAAAAACATGCTTCTAGCACAGGTATGCCTTATGAAGTGAAAAGGCAGGGGATTTGCTTTAACAGAAATACTTCTGGAGGCAGGAATTTAAAAAATCATTTATGTAATATGTATATATTGTAGTATAATTTGAATTGAGTGATTAAGTATACTGTAGTATACTTTGTATTAAGTAATAAATAGACTTTATATGGATTTGTAAGCAAAGTCTTCCTTGCTCTCAACACTGCCTTTTGGTTGCATCCTCCTGAAATAAACTTAACGATATAAATAATTCTAATAACTGCTGTTACTTCATGAGCTTCCACAAATTCTTTTTGCTGCAGGAGAACTGTATGAAGGTTTTGATGAGGAATATGACTGTCCGATTTTGGATGAGGACAGGGTAAGTCCCACATCAAAACCTACCATTTTTTGTATTTTGACTTTCTGTAATTTCAGATAAATTCACCTGGTTTTGTTTCTTTTGTAGGTGGTTGATGAACTAGAAGATAAAATGAGTGAGGGTGGAGTTATTATTGATTATCACGGCTGCGATTTTTTCCCTGAGCGGTGGTTTAATATAGTGTTTGTACTTCGTACAGAAAATTCATTTCTGTATGACAGACTTGAAAGCAGGTATGTCACTGGAGTTAATAAGGAGTGAAGTACTGTTGTGAGGCTTCATCAGAGATTTTTCTAGGGTATAAATTACTGTAGATTCTTTATAGACTCATTTCTAGTTCTCTGCATATCTGAGACTCTCCTGGTGCTGCTCTTGTTTTCTAGGGGCTACAAAGGGAAAAAGCTGGAAGACAACATTCAGTGTGAAATTTTTCAGACGCTTTACGAGGAAGCAATGTCGTCATATAGAGAGGAAATTGTACACCAGCTACCCAGCAACACTCCAGAAGACCTGGAGAGAAATTTGGATCAGATTATGCAATGGATTGAGCAATGGATGAAGGACAACAACTGACACTGGGTGAAAAAGTAACTCTGCTGGATCGCTTCGTGGGAGGCTTTAATAAACGACATACATTGTTCTTGCACGATAAATTGAAATCAATTTAACTAACTTGATAGGGTTGGGGAGTAGAAGGTGGTTCAGAATGGCCAGGCTGTAAAGCTTTAGAACAGCTTCTGAAGCACTCTGGGACAAAGACACGCAGGAGAACTGACACAGTGGAAAATCATCAGCGAATGAAAGGATGAAAATGACACAGCTGACCTTTGCAGCAGGAACTCGGTTCAGTAATTAAGAATTTTTTGGAGCTTACAATTACAACCAAACCTTGCCGCCACAGGAAAAGTGTGCAATCCTGGTAACTGGTGGCAGTTGAGGCACTTTTGATTTCTAAAGGCTAAAACAGTGTCCTGAAAAGGAGTTCATCTCTTCCTGAATTTTTAGACTAAAACTGGCTGTACTCCCCTGTATTCCTGAATATGTGGGGGGAGTGTAGAGTGAGGGGAGTGTGGTATAGTTTAAGGAGGGTGCTTTATTTTGAAACGAAGAGAATTGACGTGATAAGAGGTATTTTAGAATTATTATACTGAATTTTTGGAATTATGATGTCAAGAAACATTGACTCTATTTACACTGGTGTAGAATATTAAGCAATAAGCTTTTTTCCTCCTTTTTTTCTCTTAATACTCTCCTTCACCCATCCAATCGTGGAACACATTTGTATATTTGTCACTCTAAGAGTACCAAGGAAATACATCATTTGTCAGGATTCCGTAGAAAGCGCTTGCTTAATAAACTTTTTACATACACGGGTTTGAATAGTAAAACTGTTGGTTTTTTTTATTATTTGCTTGGAAAATTCTATTTCCAGCCTCCCGGGGAGCTGTGGGATGGCGTTCCGGCGGCGGGACGCGCTGCTCCCGCCCGCCCCGGGGCGGGACCGGGACCAGCGGCGCCGAGAGCCGGGCGGGCAGGTGGGTCGGGGGCTCCGGCTGCGGGAGGGACCGGGAAGAGGGGGCAGGAACCTGGGAATATCACGGGGGAAGGACGGGGGGTGGTCTCCGAGGCGCTCCCACCGCCACCCCCCTTCCTTCCCGCCAGCAGATGCATCCGCAGCCAGAGGTTTCACTTTAATGTTTTTGTTGATTTATTATTTTTTTTAATTATATATATATATATTTAATCTTTACTGCTCTGCTGTGCAGTAAGAGCGGTGTTTTCTGGCAGAGCAAACCCCTATTGGAAGCGGCCACACACCAACAGCTTCACATTTTTCACTTTCATCTTGTTTTGCTGCTTTAATTACGGAGTTTTTCTGTTTTTCTAGACAAAACCCTTGTTTCGCGGGAGGCACCGCTCACATTGCCAGTGAGTGAAGTGCTCTCAATAGAGGGGAAAAAAAAAAAAAACAACTCCACAAAACCAGGAGGTGAAGATGGAGGAAGCAGAAGAGGATGACATGACGTGTGGGGACTTGGGAAACGGACTCGGGAGGAGACCTGGAGCTCTTTACGAAGGGGAAAATTTACAAAACTCCTATTCATTTAGACCTAGGAAAGGATCTGGAAAGGTTTGTAATTCTCTCTTGTCAGCAAAGAGAGGGGAAGAAAGTGATGCCGCTGCTCTTCCCGGTCCAAAACGGAACAGTCTTTACGATGGATCATCCCGAAAACCTGGGGCTGGTTCGACCCGACAGAATAGCGGTGGTAAGAGTAATTTGGAAGTTAATTACTCACTGTGAGAAAAATCTCGGTGTAGCAGAGCTGCCTCGTGGTTCAGCTGCTTCACCAGGTGCCACCAAGTTCAATTCAAACCGTTTGCCTCAGAAATCCCTGAAGGATTCCAAGAAACCTGCGTGTGTATTGGGAGCCCGGCAGGGTGGCCACTGCTCCGGTCGCTCAAGGGGATGCTCAACGCCACTGAGGAAGCAGAAGGAGTATTCTGTACCCAGATCTTCCTCCTGAAACATTTTGCAGCAGAACTGGTTTTCAATGAATGAGGCTGCAGCCCTTCTTAGTGTAAAATGACCGTTTTTAAAACACTTGGTTTGGTGTTTAGCAGAAAGCATCCTGCGTCCACTGCTGGAACAGGCTGCCCAGGGAAGTAAGTGGTGGAATCACCATCCCTGGAGGTGTTTAAAAGGCAGAGGTGGTGCTGGGGGACATGGTTTAGTGGTGGTTTTATCAGTGCTAGGTCGATGGTTGGCCACGATGATCTGAAAAGGTCCCTTCCAACCTAGACAATTCTATGATCCCATGTGTTGTTCTTCTCTAAATACGTGCATGAAATTGAATGGAATTGCTTGCATTCCTGGTTTGTTTAAATCTGTCTTCCTAGAGATTGCATCTAAAACTTATAGCTAAATATTCAAAATCCTGTTTGCTATTTAGTTGAAATTTGTGAACGGCCTTACTTTTAAGGTTAAGAAGTTGTTTTTAGAACCTGCACATCTCTGTTCTCCCAGTGTTCATTATTTTTCTTTGTGAAGACAACACTGCTGTGAGTAACATCAAGTATAGGTAGCACTGTTCATTATACTTCAGACACTTTGCCTTATATTTTTAGCCATTTCAAGTATTCTGGCTGCAGTAAGCAAAGCCACGTCATTATTGGTTTCAGCATCTTTGGTGAGATGTTGCGAGAGCAGCAGTAATTCCTCTCGGTTTCACTGTCCTTTGGCTGGTCTCTGTATGATGGGAAATATCTAGGTCTTTCACACAGCACTTGGATTTCGTAGGATGCTGCATCTTAACATCTCTCTGCAAGGCTGAATTTAAGAAAAACAAATAATAAGAAAAGGAATATTGGATCTTGTGACCACCATACTTGAGCTTCGTCTCTTGAAAACTGCCCCTACTTCTAAATACTGCCAGCTACTGTTGTGTTTAGGTTGGTTGTTGGAAAGTTGCTGTCTAAAAAGAAACATGAAATTATTTTTTCAATCAAGACAGCAATTTTCTTGTGTTGTTTTTAAAGGAAATTCTAAAATAATTGTCCTTATTTTAGGTCTCTGATCTTTTTTTCAAATTTCACTTCATTAGCTGTGGTTCAGTGTGTTTGAGCTTAGTATTTATGTATTTCTTAAGTCTGTGTATTAGTTCCAGAAGAAAAAAAAAACCCACAAAGATGAAAATTCACCTCCACACACTACCTGTTTTCAGAGTAAAGCAAATTCTCATGTTTTCTTTTGTAAATATTTTAGCATCTCATCTTTTACTATCTCCTGTCAATCTTACAGAATCTAATACTGAAGTGTCAAATGAAGAGCTAAAGCAACAACTTCGGGAGGCTCTAGAGGTTAGTAACTGTGCCAAGAGTGCAAGAGAGCTGCTCTTGAAATCTGCATCTCTTTGTAATTTAGCAAAATGAAGCAGTGTGAAAATCTCAGCATGTCCAGAATCTTGGATGGGTTCAGGTTTTTGAAATTAGAGCATTGGAAATCTCATTAAATTTCATGCCAGGAAATCGCAGTGTGAGATGCAGTTTATACTCTGGATTTTCATACTCCACGACAGGGGAGTATTCTTAAAGATGTCGAGAATAATAAAAGGATTGTACTCCTTTTCTGGCAGGTTTTGTGGTTTTTTTCAAAATAAGCTTTGGGCCTGAAAATCTGAACTGTAAACGGAAGAGTCATTGCATTTTGACTGCATTTTTGTGGAAAGGTAGTTAACCGCTACATTTTAACTTTATGTGGCTAAATGTGTTGATGTGTTGGCATCAGGCCAGCCAGAAATAGGAGGATGATCTCAGCTGTGGAAACGCACACTTCATCTGCACTCTGTTGTGTTCTTTAACCTCAGGGTAGCTCGTGGTAGGTCATTTACATGCTCTCTTAGCGTGAAGAGCCTTCGGTGTGCAGCAAGTTAAAATGTCAAGGAACCTCACTCCCTATCAATTAGGCAAAGCTGATAATTTGCCACTGCTCCCAGATACAGTTTCTGTATCGACAGCTGGGAAGAGCAATGAAGAAAGTTTTGTATGACCACAAGTGAGCAACTGAGTGACCCGCATGAGGGTTAAGGAAAGAGAAGTATACAGAGCAGTAAATTTTCTTCTAACACCTGGAAATTGAAAAACTGCTTTTATTCTGAAGGGGAAAATGTTGCATAAAGAGGTGATTGGGATGCACCTGGAGCAGGCATCTGTTTTGCTGTTGTTGTTCTTTTGTTCTGGACAGGTAATGGTTTTCATCTAACAATCCTAATGTGGTGTCTGTGCTATAGAGTATGGATATTTTGTATAATATATAGTACATTATATTAAGGTATCATTTATATTTTAGTGTGTATTTGTAATACTCTCTTTTGTATCTGCTGCATGTATTTGCATGGATGTATATCTGCTAGTCTGTTTTCCTTACTTATTTTAAAGCTCCAGACCTGCGTGGGTATATACAACTTCTTTAGCAAGGAAGAACTACAGTATCTGGAGGTTTATTTTCCAAACACACTTGAAGAGAACAGAAAGAATAATTATTCTTCTTTAAGGATTTTGTGCTAACATGCACTGTTAACATTTCTTCATCGCAAGCAAGCTGTTAGTCAGAGAAGAATCATATTTGTTTTCTGAAGAGGGCAAATTTACATTGCTGTTACAGTTGAGTTTTAACAGGATTAGCTTGGCTTTTATTCAGTGTACCTATTTTATTTTGCTTCAGGAAGTTGAAATGTTGAAAGTTGAGCTTGAAGCGGCACAAAGACAGCTTGAAGGAAAAGATGAAGCCCTAAGAATTCTGCAGAGCATGGTAGGAGTTGCTCAGAAATCATTTCGGTACCTAGTGGTAAAGGAAAGAAGAGAGAAGAGATCTTCCTGTCACTCCTCATCAAAACTCCCCAAACCATAAGTTCTTCCCAGGGCTATAATTTAGAGCATTGAGTCTGCAAGTGTCTACAGACTCAGCTTCAACAATTTACTGCTTTTTCTGCATGGAACCATTGCAGTTACTTAAGAAGACTTTACTGTTGTACAAAATTCTCATAATTTTGTCTTTGAGGATCTTTGAAGATTTAGCTATTTTAACTTACAAAAATATGACCACCTTTCCAGTCCTTTAAATTACAGGTTTTGCCACTGCTTGAAATTCTGCTGCAAAGCATAGATATTTTCAGTTGACTACTCCATCTGTTGTCTTAGAGGACAGTATGCGTTAAATGTTACGTCAGTCTTTTGTTCACAGTTTGTAATATTTTTTTTCATTATCACAATTAATTATGTTGAAATCACTTCCTGCTTTTTAGCCTACTTGCATAATCCATTTGTAAGTTCTGCAGTATATACCCTCAGATGTTCTTAGTAAGTTACACCTGGATCAAAGTATAAGTATGCTGTAACCAGTTTTTTTAAGAGCTGATTTTGTGGACAAGCCCTAAAGAAGATATCTCATTTTAAATGACGCTACGTTTTTCAATAGAAAAAATTACGGGATTGAAGCACAACTTCATTATGCAATGTGGCTATTTAGTGACTTGAAATTAGAAACCACTGGGACGTAAAAGCAAGTTGCTAGTGTTTGTAGTTCTGCTCACTCCTGTTTAAGAATATGAATTTCTCTTGACGTAAAACTGAAAATTTGTCTAAAGCCAAATTTAGTAAATTTAATAACAGGGTTTGACAGAGTGTACTTTTTTCTTTTTTGCAGGCAGTACTTGATAAAGCCACTAGTCATACAAAAGCAATGCTTCAAAAAACTGAGGAAGAAAAGAGAACTTTAGAAAAGGTAAGGGTGCGTGTTTCCTTCACACCTGTGCAAAAACATCATTCATTGCTATTAATAGTGGGCTATCAGACTGCTTATTTAAATCAGTAACAAATTGGCTATTAGTTC